TGCAACTAAAAGGAGCCCACGTGCCACAACTAAGGAGCCCACGAGGCACAACTAAGGAGCCTGCCTGCTGCAACTAAGACCCAGTGCAACTAACTAAATAAATAAATATTAGCAAACCAAATTCAACAGTACATTAAAAAAACATACACCATGATCAAGTAGGATTTATCCCAAGGATGCAAGGGTGGTTTAACACCTGCAAATCAATCAACGTGATGTGTAACATTAACAGAATAAAGGCTGAAGGTCAATGGAATTCCAAATTGATGACTAGGGACAAAAAAAGGAGTGAGTAAAGGAAAATGAGAAGAAGCAGAGAGGGAGATAAAAAAATAAGAAGCCAAAGGAGAATGTAAGAAGGAGAGAAGGAGAAGAAGAGGGAGGGGGAGGGGAGGGAGAGGGAAAGGAGAGGAAGAGGAGAAGCTCTACGTGTAATAATAGCACCTGTGTGCACTGTAGTACTTACTAAGTTATAGGCACCAATCATATATTAACTCATTAAACTCTAACAACAATCCTATGTGATAGGTATTACTAATATCCCCATTTTAAAGATGGGTAAACTGTTAAGTTCCCTAAGATCACTGGATAAACTGTCAGAGATGGGATTTGACCTCAGAAGGAAGAGGGGGAGGAGGAGAAAAGGAAGTGCTATGTCATGCTGCTTTGATAACTGGTGAGAGATCAAGTTAGATAAAAATGGAAAGATGTCTACTAGATTTCATTAGTGACGATCAAAAACGCTTCAACAGAATGATAAGGAAACACACCATAGCAGAGAGGGTTGAAAAGCCAAAAACATCAAAGATATATACTTAAGAAGTTTCACGTAATACATAAAGCCGCTCCAAGCTAAGGCTCATTCTTCTAAAATTTAGCCAGGATCAGCTGACTTCCTTAAAAAAACTAGATGTTTCTAAACAGAAGAACATAACATTGGAGTCTTCAAAACTCTCTGAGGAGTTTCATTTGTTTACAACAAAACAAATTATTATTAATAATTACTTTTTAAGCTGCTTTGTTTTAAAACTTGCTTTCAGGGTCCATAAAAGTGCATATTTAGAAATTTTGTTTTTTCAAGAGTATGGTTGCTAACAGAAAGCAATTTTGCAACATGCATCAAAAATTAAAATGTGATTATAGTTTGACCTAGCAATTACATTCCTAGGAATTTATCCTAAAGATATTATTAGATAACTATGCAAAGATAGACGTTTAAGGATGTTTGTTACAGTTTTGTTTAACGGGAAACTCTGGAAACAACTTTAATGTCCATAAAAATTAAATATAAAATGGTTAAATAAATTATGATATATCAGAAAAATAAGCAGCCATTTAAAAGGCTAAGCAAGTTCTATGTGTAATAATAGCACCTGGGTGCACTGTAGTGCTTACTAAGTTACAGGCACCAACTGTATATTAACTCATTAAACCTGAACAACAACCTTATGGGATAGGTATTACTAACCTCCCCATTTTAAAGATGGAGAAACTGTAATTTACCTAAGATCACCAGATAAATTGTGTGAGATGGGATTTAAACTCAACCAGTCTGGCTCCAGCATCCATGCTTTTAACCACTACATGTGTGTAGTGACAAGGAAAGATATGCATAATATATTATTAAATGAAAAACAGTCTTGTTCAACAGCATTTTTTTAAAGAAAATAAATATGTTCATCCTTTCACATTGTTCTTCTAGATTTACCCACTACCTCCCCATCTTCTTATCTATAACCCTCAAAGCCATATTAAAACATATTTGTTTATACATACATTTATGTGTATATGCAGGTAGGTAATACACGCTTACATATTCAATAGACTAAAGTATGAGAGAAAGATTTTATACCCAATTTTTATTATGGTTACCTCTGGGGTAGGGTTATGAATGGACTTTTCTTTTTTTCTACTGGAGTATAGCTGATTTACAATGTTGCATTAGTTTCAGGTGTACAGCAAAGTGAATCAGTTGTACATATACATATATCTACTCTTTTTTTTAGATTCCTTTCCCTTATAGGTTATTACAGAATATTGAGTAGAGTTCCCTGTGTTATATGGTAGGTCTTTATTAGTTATCTATTTTATATATAGTAGTGTGTGTATGTCAATCCCAGCACATGTAAGACACAAAATGAGCTTGGGGGTGAGGGAGAGAAAAACATTCTGTCATTTACTTCTTAATCATTGTTGGAAAGCAAAGAGCCTATTCTGATTGGAAATTTTCTCTGCCAACATGAAGTGGCTAGGATTAATTCTGACTGATCACCTCCAATCTATTATAATGTACTATGCTATGACTACTGAATGTTTCATATAATAAGTGAATTAGATTTTTAGGAATATATCCAACCTACCTAGTGGACACTGCCAACATCCTAAATGATTTAATGATGCTACCTACTAGAGCAAATCATTCTTTTAGCTCAATAGCTTTCCAGCTGCCTGGTAGACTGTTTCTAACCCAAAAGGAAGTAGCTCCCATTCAGAAAGTAGGTGTCTATAAACCATACTGAGCAACAGAGACATTTACCTATGTTTATGCTGTTTAAAATTATAAATTCAGCTTTGCCTTTTCTAAGCCAAAAGATTTTAGGCCATCTGGGGCCTTGGCTCCCTCAATAATCAACTGAGGGAGAGAATTAGATCATCTTCTCTAACACAGCTCATGATTCTCCTACAAATAACACATTTGATGTGTGCTAATGAGATAACCTACGTTAACACTTAGCACACAGTAAGTGCTCAAGTAATGTTATTTCCCTTTCTGATTCCCCTCATCACAAGAAATACAGAGAAATCTAAAGTCCCTCTACAGCTATACTGAATACAGAGAAATCTAAAGTCCCTCTACAGCTATACTGAAAATTAGTTAGGCTGGGTTCATAAGCATTTTGAACTATCCCTAATTGTGTTATTCTGATATAAACAAGTTTATATTCTTTTATCTGATAGATTAGAAGCTAAAAGTTAGTCACTGTCAAATATGTTTGGAGTATTCTTTTTCTAGGTGGGGCAATCAGATCAATTAAGTACACTTCAGTGCAGCCTATATATGTACTGTCTCTATGTGAGGTCAGCTCCAGGATTCAAACAAGGAAGAGAGATAAATATAAACCTATAGTAATGGGAAAGCTCTCCTTTTTATTTTCTCTAACTAGACATTCTCCAAGATGATATTAGATGAGTATCCATGCATTGCTAGAGAAGATACAAAAGCCTTTCTGCTCAGTGGCCAGAGAATGTCCCCTGCACAGGCCATGTCTGGGTTAACATGGCCATAAATAAATGAAAACAATACAATCAAGCCCCCAAAACCTGTCAGCCAGGGGGATAATTTACCAGAAGAATAAATTATTAGGCTGACACGGAGTACAGGTCTGATATCCAGAGGCAAAGTCCTAGGTTACCCGCAAAAGACAGACTAAGCACGGGCTAAGAGCACTAGTAAAGGAAGGTCATTAAAAATGAGAAAAGGCATCTTGGGAAAGATGTAGTATCTGAAACAAAAAATTAGACATGATAGGAAAAATCAAAACCTTGTTGGACTTCCTTATACTTACTTTATGGTTTAATATTGTTTTTAGTCTTAATTATGTAATACTTTCACTGCTTAGGCAGTCTAAAAGTCTTATTCCAGCCCTCTGCAGAAAGCATCTTTTGGATTTGATTTGTTTTAATGACAAGAAAAAAAAATGAGGTGGAGATCCATGATTTCATTGAAAGATATACGCAAAGACGCTTGTTACTTTATTGAAAATATTTTCCTTAACTTCTAAAGTAACTTTGTCATATGAACTGTTCATATCTAAACTCAAAATGATTTAATGAAAAGTCTGAAGTACAGTTTACGAACTTCATAAAAAACAAATGCTTAACAGAACAAGAGATGAGGCGCAGCAGCCCACATCTTGAGTTGCATAGGGCCTATATTATGTGATGCCTTTGTTTAGAATCAAGGTATTTAATGGTTAAGTATGGAACCTTTCCTAAAATATCAGGAGCTTCTCTGAAGATTCAGATTATTATCTTTTGGGAAATCTGGGAGAATTATAGGGAATCTAGTAACAAATTCTGAATTACTTCATCAATATAATAGTAATCACAATAATGACAGCTACCATTTATTAGGCGATACAATTTTCCAGACATTATGTTAAGAGAATTTTATGTATCATATCATTTAGCAATCCTATAAATTCGTTTTCATTATTATCTCAAAATTCAGGGTCTGAGTAATTTGCCCAAAGTCATACACTAGAGCTGATATTAGAACCAAATCTGTCTGAGTCCGGTGTCTGCAGTTTTAACCATTACATTTTACTGGGAAAAGGGTGAGCTTGCATCTTTTTATAAGCAAGGCAATTATCACCTTCAATAACAGAACTTCATCTTTAACTGAAGGACAAAAACCAACCAGGTTATTTTCATCAACTCTGCAGCAAATGTCTTGCTGTTTCCACACTTTTAAAGCTGCACTGATATGTTGATATAAAACCCAACAAGGTAATTATAATTGAATTCTAACATGTCTTATAAATTTCTAGCTATCAGAGAAAGAACTGCAAATTGAAATGTAGCAGTTTCTTTTTTAGTCAGTGTATTACAGAAGCATTCTAATAATTCAATTATATGTTTAGGCACCTTTAGGGATGTTATTATGATAAGTATTTTAAGAAGAAAGCTGGCATTATTTTGACAGAAAACAGGTTTTCTTCTCATATCATACAACTTGAATGAATGGAAATATTTTTACCTTACTAGAAAAAGTGCTGTGATAGCAAGATTAAATGGATTATAAGAAAACCAAACTTGAAATAAACAACAACAAAAAAGGATGGGGGAAGGAGAGAGGATCAGAGTTCCTCAGAGAAGTCGTTTTTTTTTCTTTTTTTCAAGAATCTAGCATGAGGCAAAGGCTGTAAACTGAATGATGCCCAGTTCCAAGGGCAGAGAGGTAAGACAGTTCAGTAACTTAAACATAAAAACAGACTTACCTTTAGGAGAGCCAAGGCTACATGAAAGATTATGTTCAAACCCTGAAATAGAAAAAGAGAGTCAAAATCAATACTGTCACGTCTATCACGATTTTATTAAGTATTTTCCCAAGACTTCTGTATATCATTAATAAAATCTGTTTTCATTTTCACATACAATAATAATTAAACATGAGATTTCTAAAGGTATTTTTTCTTCTATGAGAGGCTTATTATAAATTTTAGGTGCTATCTAATTAATGCTCACATAAAATTATTGTTTTTACGACAAATTGGCTCAGGGCTTGCAAAAGTCAAGTTCCTTGATCAAAATGGCAGTGACACCAAAGTCTAAAATTATTAATTGAAATTTGTTAAGTCTTATCTGTGTGATGTGGTTAAACTGCCAGTGGCAAACAAAACAAAACAAAGAAAAATAGTGTTGCTGATAACTGGGACAGATTGTGAGCATCACACTGGATTTCCCCTACTGTTCTTATTGTGTTGTTTGTTTTAGTGCTTGCTTTCAAGTAGTATGTGTACAGCTAGAGGTGGTAATTAGGGGCTATTTGCTAGACTCCCTTGTTCCTTTTTTCCTGAAAACCAGAGCAATATTTCTTCATGAATAAAGAAATTAAATAGTTTGTTAAGAAGCCGTACTGGGGCTGAATTTTGACTCTGAGTTCAGCCCAATGACTCTGAAGAAATGTTGAGATGTTAAAGTCAAGAGACAGGAATCTTAAATGCTCAAGATGACAGAGTCAGAAACAAAGTTTCCACAGAATACGCAGTTTCCTTGTCATGCAAGTCATCATACATGAGGAGAAAGACCTTTCAAATTTGAGCTGACATCTCCCATAAGTGCAGGGTCTATTTGATGTGCCCTCTTCAGCTTGGTCACAAATATAATCTATCTACCTTCTGGATATAGAGCTGTACCAGATGTGTTATGCAAAGAACCTTTAATAAACCATCCTTTTACTGTCTCCAAAATCAGAAGCAAGAATTAGGACTAGGTAATTGATGCCGAAAACTCGGCTTCTGTGCACCAGTGCCGAATTGAATCTCAGAGACAGAGTTTTCGGTGAAGTAGAAAACAATAGTTTTTTTGCTTTGCCAGGCAAAGGGGGACACAGCGGGCTCCTGCCCTGAAAAATTGTGTGTCCCAACTGGGAGGATTTGGTGACTTTTACAGCAACAGTTCAAGGGTGGGGTTGCTGATAAGATTAGGGTGTGTGAAAGGCCTACACTCCTTTAATCTGGTCTCAGGTAATCTCTTGATGGGCTTCTCTGGTTTCTTTTATCTGGCCTCAGGTGGCCTTCTCTGGTGCTCCTCCCTTGTCTCTGAATCCTCTCCCTTCTCTGATTAGCAACTGTTGGAATCTGCCTTTGGGGACTCAGGAAGGTCACAGAGGCTGGAGTCTGTTCCCTGCAAATAAGGAACATGGGACGCAGAAAGGTTTCTGTGCCCGGGAGCCCCAGAGGGTCCTGCTCAGTTTCATAATTAGAGTGCATTCCTGTTATAATATGCTAATCTTTCATATTCAACTACCAAACATATGACATAATAGTAAGAAGGGATGAATGATAAACACAAAATCTTTGGTTGAAGGTTTTGGGTGTACTCAGTTAATCCTTTAAGAATCAGAAAGCAGTAGGAAGTATAATCAGGCCAGGAGACAAAATCAAATTGACAGAGTGCATCACCACTCCAAGCAAGGATTCTACACTGGTTTTGATCACAATGAGAGAAAAAAAGGAGACCACGATCACAATCAAAAGAACAAGGGTTACAATTAAGCAGAATTTGCTTTCCTCATCTAAATTTGGGTCCTCACCCGCTAGCTGCTGCCCAGCTGTAGGCCCTGCTACACATATCCTCCAGCCCCACGTCACAGCGGCTAGGCATAGTGAATCCTCACAACCTGAGTGCTGATCAAGCCGCCATCAGGACTAAATCCACAGTGTCTCTGGCTCTTGTTTTTCTAGTCACTGCTGGCAATGTAAACATTTCCTGTCTCTTGTTCTCTAATCCTCAAAATGCTCTGGCCCTGGGGCTTTCCTGGTGGCGCAATGGTTGAGAGTCCGCCTGCCGATGCAGGTGACACAGGTTCGTGCCCCGGTCCGGAAAGATCCCACATGCCGCGGAGCGGCTGGGCCCGTGAGCCATGGCCGCTGAGACTGCGCGTCCAGAGCCTGTGCTCCGCAACGGGAGAGGCCACAGCAGTGAGAGGCCCACGTACTGCAAAAAAAAAAAAATGCTCTGGTCCTTTCTCCTAAACCAGTCTCCTACTCTTCCCTCTCCTTCCCAAACCCCTGCAGGGTATTCCACTCCAGAGTACAACCAACTCTGCTATGTTCTCAACCTCCCTGCCAAACATTTCCCCTGCCTGCTTGCTTTCACAGGAAGAGTGAAATCTCAGTGATCCACATAACAACCTGTATTATGATTCCCATTTTTCAGCATATGAACTTGACTAGCCTGAGGTTATATATGCATTTAGTAGTAGCAGGCTAGGATCATTTGCCAAGCCTCCTAATGTGTAGTTTAAGGGCATTTTCACCACACAGTGCTGGCGTAATGTACTTAATAAGGGCTTATGTGATGACCAAATGAATGAACTATACTAGCTATCCCCAAATTTTCTGGGATTTATTCTTTTCCATATGGACCTAACTAGACCAATTTGTAGAATCACCATCAAATGACAGTAAGAAACCTTGTTTTTCAATGATCTCAAAGTCAAACTATTGGACAACTGAGCTATGGAAAACACAAACAAGAACTTGGAGAAAAAAAAAATCTTTAGATAGCAAAATAGCTCTCACTAATACCAGGAAAAAAATTTATTCAATTTTAATTTCATTTACACTTAGAATTAGTTTGGTAATACGATTTTATAGTTTACAGATATCAGAAGTAGCAAAGTAAAAGACAGAGTATGTGGTAGATAGGGTTAGGGACAGAGACTGTTGAGACAGTTGCCAGAATCAAAATATTAGATCTGATAGAAACAGAAGATAAACTTTAAAAAAAATGTGTAGCTGTCCGGGCTCATTTAGTGGAGCCAATAGCCCTTCAATAGTTAACATTAGTTCACTGTGATAATCTCAGCAATGTTAACGAACGCTTACATTATATTTGAAACATCGTGCTTAAGGGAGCATAGTCTGTGTTTTAAATAAAAAGTAGATTTTCTTTAAGTTTGGGAAGCTAACGAGGTAACTTTCAGTTATCAGAAAATTTTATATATGTAAACTCTTTAAATAAGTTCATAATAATAAAGTATTATTGCACCTGCTTACATGAAACCCTAGATATAATCCACAAAAATGAAGAAAAGTAAAGACTTCATAAGCCTTCAACTGAAGTAGAATAGTGTGGCCAGACTGTGCAAACGAAGGTATTTTTAGACCTCTAAGTTGTTGGAAATCAGGAAAAACTTGCTATTCTACCCAGTGCTTTACTTCACTACAAAATGTATCCTGATTTCCTAAGAAGAGAATAAAAAAGGCAACTTTAGTCAGATATTTAAAAATATCTATTTTTCTCTTTTAAATAAGACTTATTCCCATTTAGGGATACAATGAGAGGTATCACTAAATTACAGTAACCTTCCTCAGGCCAACATTTGGGCACTACAAATAGGTTGCTTTTTTTTTTTTTTTTTAAATAAATTTACTTATTTATTTATATATTTATTTATGGCTGCATTGGGTCTTCGTTGCTACGCGTGGGCTTTCTCTAGTTGCAGCAAGCTGGGGCTACTCTTTGTTGCGATGCACAGGCTTCTCATTGTGGTGGCTTCCCTTGTTGCAGAGCAGGGGCTCTAGGCGCATGGGCTTCAGTAGCTGCAGCCCGCAGGCTCACTGGTTGTGGCTCGCAGGCTCTAGAGTGCAGGTTCAGTAGCTGTGGCGCACGGGCTTAGCTGCTCCACAGCGTGTGGGATCTTCCCAGACCAGGGCTTGAACCCCTGTCCCCTGCACTGGCAGGCGGATTCTTAACCACTGTGCCACCAGGGAAGTTCCAATAGGTTGTTTTTAAGATGACAATGTCAATGCAAGCTTTGGTCCTCAGCCTGCTAGTCAACAATGAAGTAAATTAAAAGCGAACCACCTTTCACTCTCCCAAGCCACCATATGAACTAAATCCCCCATTATTTTGTTGTCCACCTACTTTTACATGGTCCAACTTTTGCCTAATTGAGCTGAGATATATTTTTAAAAGAAAAAAATTGTTATATATTTTCAAGGTGCTTCCCTCTTCAGGAATATGTAATTTGTAGCAATTTGATTGTTACTGAGGGGTAAATAAGTGTTCCTAATAGGATTGAAAGGGTTAAAGCATTTGCAGAATTATTAAGAGTAAAAACAACAAGTAAATACATTGTTATGGCTACTTATTTATAGTGCAAAGTCTAACTCCAAGTGCAAGATAATAAATGAGTCAACATCCACTGAATATTTTCTATGTGCCAAGATCTAAATTAATTACACCAAAAACATGTCCTTACTTAATCCCACGACAACCTGAAATTCCATTTTACCCACAAGAAAATTAAGATTTAGAGAAGTCAAATTAAATTTCCCAAGGTCACACAGCTATTAAGTGGATTTAAACTTACACAGTATAACTCTAGAACTCATATTCTTAACTGCTAAGTTAGAGAAGATGGCTCAAGGAATAAATGAATGAATGAATGAATGAATCACTTAGTTGGGTATTATTTAATGCGGCCTCTAATTCCTAAAGGATTAAAGTGATTCTTCCCATTTAAAGGCAAGTACATTTTGAGAGCAGGGAGGAGAAAGATAACAAATAGGTGACTTCTACCAAAACCAAATTTTATTATTTGTCTCCATATTGAAAACAGGCAAAAATTAGCTGACTGCTTGCAGGATGTGAAGCAATAGAAACTCAGCTTGCCGTGAAAAGAAAGGGTCACCACCTTCCTCCAGTGACAACAGACTGAGATCAGCCTTGTGTGTGTGAAGGAGTAGTTCCTTAACTGATTGCGAAGCTGCTGTTTCAAAATTCAGTCACAGCCTGGCAAAACCTTCAC